TCCAAGCTATGTTCAAGGCAGACCTGGCACCAGTTAAAGAGGCAGTCTCCACCCTTACCACACGCATGTACACAGTGGAAGAGAACATGACAGGCCACAAGCTTGCACAGTAAGCCATAGATGCAGCCATTGATGCCCTGCAGAACCAGTGCGCCAACCATCAGGTTCAGCTTGCCAACTTGGAGGACAAAGCCAGGGCACGCAACTTAAGGATAAAGGGAGTGCCGGAAACCATTGCAGAAGCAGAACTCCCTCACTACTGCAGGAGGCTCCTTGCCACCCTCCTCATGCCCAAACAGGCTAAACAGCTGGTGGTGGACTCCTGCTTCAGGCTCAACAAGGCGACCAACGCAACCCAAGAGGTAACCAGGGATGTACTGCTCAAACTGGTGCGGTACTCTGACTGGGGTGCTATTATGGGAGCAGTAAGAGACACCCCCACAGTATCCTTTGAGGGAACACAGCTATCATTTTTTAGGGACTTCTCCAGACATACTCTATCCTGGCGGAGATCTCTCAAGCCTATTACCCAGCTTCTCCAAGAGAAATCCATAGCATACAAATGGGGACCCTGCCGATTACTCGCTGACTGTTACGCTACTTGGGTGATTTGGCTTGGAACTCAACTGCAGCTTGTAAAACTCCCTAATTACAATTGTGAAGAAATGGAGAATCTTTAAAGTATCAATACTGTAGCTTTAAGAAAAGAGAGAATCACTGGTAACTTGATTCAACCGAAGTTTTAACAAGTGTTAAACTTAAATGAATTGCATTTAGGCAATAATCCAATAAGAAGAAGTGCAAGTAATCAACAACACAAAGTTCATTATTAAGTATTTCCTCAGAGATGCATTAAGTAACATTCTTTAAGTTCATGAGAATAATCTTCAATAGAAACAATAGGCAAGTAGCTAAGAATATTTGCAGAGCAAGAACAGTTCATAGTGAATAAGCATGATGGGAGTTGTCCTCCATATAATTAGTAGCTTGAAGCAGTGAAGATTTGAGTAAGCAAGCATTAGTTCATTAATAAATGATATTGTAGACAAATAGCTGAAAGATATACTTAAGGTTAATATGTGTAGTCCTCCAATAGTTCAGAGATATGGTCCACTGGTAAAGTAGCAAAGTATCCGTTCTCCAGTAATCCTTTATGGCATGCAGCAATCCTTGCATTGGCTCAAAGGCTGGAACGGCTTGTCTGAGCTTGTGGAGAGGTAAGTCTGGTGGAAGTAGCTCCCAGTAGCTGAGCCTGTGGAGCCTGCGGTCTCGCGGAGGCAGCTCACACATTAGCTCACACACATTCACCAAGCACCCTCTCTCTGGCCCAGTCTCCCTAAATACCGTCAGAGCTGTGTCAGAGATGGGTGGGGTCCGGCTCCTCACAGCTGAGTGCCGAACCTGGAAGTGTTACTTCATGACACTGACAAAGCGGGGAAGACCCACACAATATCGCACCCTAACGAGGTGTCAACCTTCCTGCAAGTCCTCGGCCTGACGGCAACAAAGACGCTGACGGCAGGCCACCCGGCTTGGTACATAGCCAACGTCACCCCATTTGTGCCCAGAGGGGAAGCACCTGCGGCATTGGAACTGCCACCTTGAACTTGGGGACTGAACTTACCTGTGCATCATCCTACACACGATGCTCCTCACAAAGTTCTATAACTGTCGCTCCCCACCAATGTTGAATAATGTTTATATATAATACCAATGTTATTTTGTTACTGGCTCCGTAAGCCTTAGATGTAGCTCTACCTTAAAGATACCAAGTCGTCCCCTCAGCACACGGTTATTAAACTAAACCACTGCGCAAAATTAGCAGACCCCTTACTATACAGTGCATGACCCCAATTTCCTGGACCAGCACTACTAAGCGAACACATAGACCCAGCTTTGAGAAGCTCAACACCTATACACACCATAAATAAGCGCCCTATTAAAGCTTACGTGTCAAGGTGCGAAGCAAATTAGCCACAAGGCGCATGCAGCCCAACTCCAGCACCCCCCAAACCACACACCCTAGGACCACCTATAGGGGAGCCTGGGTGCATAAGCCCCTAAAATACTCAAGACTGAGTAGGCCCAGCTTGGTGACAAATGTATGCAAGTACTGTTAGAATCTTTAACCTGTTGCTCACTGAAATATGTTATACTGTATGCAAAAACTCGCAAAAATAAAGAATTTAAAAAAATTAGCTACCTCCCAACTTATTATAGACCCCCACATTGCCCTACAATGAACACCTACCTTGGAAACTCCAACCTTTTTTTCCGTTACAATGAACCCCTTGTCCCCAGTATAAATCCCTACATTCCCTCTACAGGTAAGGGCACAGGTGTTGCAAGGTGGCAAAGAGATCAGGGGCTCTAGCCCACTTATATTGACTTAAGCCCTCCCAAATTGCAACCCTTATTCTGCCCTAAGTTCAACCATAAACCCTAATGTGTTTTATAAATCACATTGTGACATCAAATCTTTAACCCCTTAAGGACACGACGTGTAAAATGTCATGATTCCCTTTTATTCCAGAAGTTAGGTCCTTAAGGGGTTAAATGCAACCACAGTAATACATATACTCTGTGCCGTAGAATTCTTAGGAAATGTACCTAAAATGACACTTCTGTGTAAATGCGGCCACAATCTCAGGATTAAGGTCAGTGGTTCCCAACCTAGTCCTCAAGTATCCCCTAACAGTCCAGGATTTAGGGATTACCTAGTTGTGTCTAAGGTGTTTATAGAAAAAAAAAAACACCTTAGACACAACAGGTAATCCCTAAATCCTGGACTAGTAGGGGGTACTTGAGGACTGGTTTGGGAACCCCTGGTTCTGTGTTGTTCCAAAAGTCTCTCCTCAGCACAAGAGCTCGGGTCTCAATATTGAGGCAGCCAAATCAATTTCACCAAGGAATCAGGGTACTTGCTCCAATGTAGACGTGGCCGTGTCTATTCCCAAAACACGGCCGCATTGTTCGAGTGCAGTATTATTATTACTAGGTTGTGGTCCTGTCATTCTGGTTGGTCACAAACATACTTAAATGACGTGAGATGTGACCTTCGTGCTATATCATATTTTTTTATATTGTTGATGTCCTGTTTGAGGTCCTACGCAAGGGTCTAGGCCTACATATACTCGTGAAATTAATGGTTCAGTGTCTTTTTGTGGCTCCAGACTTCAAGAGATTTCTTCTGTATGCTTTTTGGATTTTTCTGTTTTTTTTTACTATGGCCCTGCTTTTTTTTATTCTGGTATCCTTGATCTGGCTTTTCCTAACTATGATTTTTGTTCTTCTCATTTTGTTTACCCTGGTTAGACTATGTAGCTAAGTTATAGATAGGATAGTTAGGCTACTTCCATTTTCTGTACTAAGCGTTAAGCAAAGCCACTCTAAAACCCAGCAATATGACTCTTCTATTGCATCTAACATGCCCTTTTGTTAGGAGCTGACTTATATTTTGCTGATAATCCACACCAAACCGACAAGAATTAACTTTAAATTGTGAATTAACATGACACTGTCACCAATTATGTAATTGTATTACAAGAGACATGGGGTTAACAATGAAATGGTGCCAATATTAGATCTGGGGTTTTACAGGACACCAACAATGGCACTGCCCCCCCACAATTCCCCTGGATAAAGGCATACACACATGCAGACAATGCACTCACACAGAAGCACACAGATACAGAAACATATAACTCACATGCACTTACAGTCATAGAAATGCATATACACAAATCATACAGACACACTCACAGATCCACACAGACACACATACATTGCAGTGTCATACATGCTGCTAAGGGAGTTGTTTGGCTGCTGCTTCTGACTCTTTAGAAACTTGGGTGGGATAGGGACCAAAGGTAGCCAACCAGACCTCCAACCTACCCACCAGGCCATGATCTCCTCAGGCCATTGTATATCCTCGCTGAGCCTGAATGGGCCTCTCTGTAGCATAAGAGCATTTAACTTTGGCTTCAAAGGAGCATCCCTGCCACCCTCCCTTACCTTCTGTCACAGGCCTGGATATAATGACTACTGGCTGTGTCTGGAAAGGCCTGTGCTGCCTGAACAGCTTCAAATAGCTCCCTCACTCTGAGTGGCCCTGGTGCAGTTGCATCAGTAGATTCAATTCTATTATTTTGTAGCTACCATTCCAGTATTTTTATGTAAAATAAATAAATAAATCTATCTATCTACATTATCTATCTATTTACAGACCAGTCCTCTGCATTCCACATTCTAAATGTATTTGTTTATCAGGAAATGCCTTAATATTGGTATCATCCTAGCTCTCCTGGAGCCCAAACTGCTGCATGATCAGGACAAAGAGATGATGTTACAGTCTGGTTTCTATGGCAACAGAAAAGGATGAAGCTAAAACCAAACCGCTGATAATATCCTAACTACTATCTTCCCATTCATATTTTTAATATTCTAAAAAAAAATCGTAGAAGGAGGAGGGGGGTTATTTTCTTTTATGGTTTCTGTGCAAATTAGTGGCTAAATAGATTATTAACTGATGTATAAATATAAACACACACAAAGATAATAAATATATAAAACACACAAGAAAAATATCAGTGTATTATTCCTGCTAGAAAATATAAATAAATGTATAAATGCACACAATTGATTAATATGTAGTGTTCCGTTTTTGCTCAAAATAACATAAACATACAACTATATACCTACGTATACAGGGTTATAGGTGTTCCTATATAAAATATAAATATATATGTGTGTTAATATATGTTTACATACATATATATTTATATATAAATACTTGCATATATTGCTGATATTTATGTACATCTCATAGCATGTTGGTTTGTGAGCAGCAAAGAGGAAGGAGCTCAGCTCACACAGCCCCCTTCTCTGCATGTAAAATGTGTGTGTTCTTTAAACGCCAGTGGTTGGCTGGCTTTCCGGACATGATGTGGTTGGAGCTGTCACCGTAATGGAAATTCATTGCTGTAGCTATGGTAAATGGAGTTTTCTGCCTGCTCTGAATGCATTAGTCTAATGAGATGTTTGCAGCTGGAGAGCTGAGCTGCTGGATGCATACAGCTTGCTAGCAGACAGGGAGAAGATGGCTCTGGCACAGCTCTGTGTACAGCTCTGTGTACATGCTCTGCCAATCATCTGCCCTCCCAGGCACAGCACCAGGGCTCTGTAGAGGGCACTGACAACTGATCTGCAAAAAAAGGCAAAAAGGTAAGGGGATCATCTCAGCCCTCTGCAACATCCTTCTCTTTATTTTAATGGACGCCACAGCATACATAGCTTGTGTACCTGCAAATAGCCATATGGGAAAACATGCAATGCTGTGTGACTGCCTAGAAACATTTACATGGGAGATATAGATAGATATATAATACATTAATATGAATATGTAAACATGTATCTATACACTATGTATGTTAGTATTGTGTTCTGTTTGTTTGCATGTACAATATATTTATAGAATCCAATTTATCTTACAAAATATAGTCTATTTCTCACATCAATATAATATTATGTATTTAAATGATATTTGTGTGCTTATATTTATATGTATGCATGTGTGTCTATTTGTAGATCTATAGTAATTAGCCTACACAAGACTCTCTCTCTCTCTCTCTATACTATTATATATATATATATTTTTTTTTTTTAATTTCTATATTTACATCTACACACATACTTACTGTACCTCACTTATACACACATCCTCTCTCTCTCTCTCTCTCTCTCTCTCTCAGCTAACGCAGATGGCAGGCTAATGTTTCAATTGTGATGTCAAACAGAAGAAATCTCCCCAGACATAGTCCAGTTTGACATTTCCTGTGTATCTCTGTTTTTTTTCTTGCTAAACCTTACGTCTATTTACATAGTGGCTGGCTTCCCCCCGTGTAGATATTGTAACATTTATTAGTGAGTTCTAGAGGACTCTCTGGGTTTCATGTTTGCTTTGCATATTATATTTAAGAGTCTTACTAATATTTGTTTGGGTAAAGGATATAGATGTTCATGTTTATAAGCTGTTTCACCACAGATTTCAGATTTTTACATTCATTTTCTATGAGTGGGGGTGATTTGTTGGTCATTCAATGCAATAGTGACAAATCAAAAAAGTAGCCATGTTAGACCCCTGCTTGAGAGTTTAACCATGTCAGGTCTGGATATTATTAGACATATTAAGTTGGTTTTGAAATATAAAATGTCAGAATGTCAGAATCTTTCAAACACTGTTGTTTGTTGACATATATCATTAGTGACCAAATTTATAGTCCTCCAGCGTTTGTAGAACTATAAAAGGATGGCAAAGCATCTTGGGAACTGTAGTTCTGGAGACCCTTGGGGGGGTCTACTTTTGTCATGTATTAACCCCGTCTTCTCAGTTTTTGTCAATTTATCCTCACTTGCCCTTCCCCCACCTGCATATTTAAAAAGCAACCATAGCTTTTAGTTATGTTCAGCACCAACACAGCCCTGAGCTGGAAATCATTTTAATATTTGGCAATACCAGGGCTTAATATTATTAATTCTATGAGATAAATGGTTTTTATGTTTTTATGTGAGAAATGGTTTTTATGTGCGAAGGTTGATACTATACATTGTTTGGATAATTTAGAAAATACGTTTCTATAGGTATTATGTATTGGTTATTATTGCATCAAGGAAATTACTCTTTCCCTAATAATTGTTTAGTATGAATTTTATATGTATATATATATATCTTATAGTAGTTTTGTGTGTGTGCATATACATACGCAAATGTAGTGTACGAACATAAATAAAATATACCAGTTGCACTAAAATAGCCTGATCTGAGAGCTCATGTGACCGTATGCAATCCATGCATTAGTATTCTCCTGGCTATCTTTGAAACATTCACTGTAAACTTGAGATCAGTGAATATAGCCAGAGCATTGCAGTGTGTATCCTACAATGATATGTCATTGACATTGTGCAGATATCAGAAAACGTTAGTAATAAAATTATTATGCACATATTAGTCTCTGGTATAAAATGCAAATCAATTGTCTGTTAAGTAAAAATACAAAATATATACTAACATAACAACGTATATTCACTTTAACCCAAGAGCTCTGATAGCGAGTGAGAAAGTTCAATATATAATGTGACCAAAGCACACAGTATATGAATATGCCAGTCAGTCGGTACTTGGAATCATTTTTAATGAATGTCCTTGTCTGGCTGTGTCATGCTGTCATGTATCCCAAATGCACATAATACAACCTAAATATGCAAACTCACATCCCGTTGCCTAGCAACATCAACAGCATAATGCCATCTCTCTAGTAATGGACTTTAGACCAGCATGTATGGAACCAGAAACACTTCACACACTATCAACAAATTGCTGTTTTCGTTAAAAATACTGACAAATCTGTTTGTTTAAATACAATACACACCTGTTAGATTGCAACAGCTTTTACTTATCTTCATTTCATGTCAAATTATTTTCATTTTCTGTTCATCCAACCACCTACCGACCCATCCATTCTATCTATCCATCCATACAAACATTCATTACGTTATTATACAGTACACACATTTATAAATACCACAGATAATTAATTGTCGTCACTTAAAGGGACACTATAGTCACCAGAACAATTACAGCTTATTGTATTTATTCTGGTGAGTATAATCATTTCCTCCAGGCTTTTTGCTGTAAACCCTGTCATTTCAGAGAAAATGCAGTGTTTACATTACAGCTTAGTGATAACTCCACTGGCCACTCCTCAGATGATTACCAGAGGTGCTTCCTGGGGCAGTACCACACAGTGCCCTTCAGTGTCTCCACCCTCTGCATGCAGACACTGATTTGATTAAATTCAGCTCTATGAGGATATGCTGATTGGCCAGGACTGTGTTTGACTTGTGCTGGCTCTGCCCCTGATCTGCCCCTTGACAGTCTCAGCCAATCCTATAGGAAGGCATTGTGATTGGTTCACAGACTCACTTCTGATTATGTCAGCCTAGCAGGCAGATCAGGGGCAGATGCAGACTTGAATACAAGTAAGATTTACTATATTTAGGGAGACAAGTGGGACCCAGAGAGGGCTAGATGGTGGTTTGTGTTTGTGTTCCTGCCTTTAAGTGTCTGTGAGCTACTGCAGGCTGACTTAGAATCATGAGAGACAGCTATATAGAATACTAATAGAAAACCTTGTAAATGAGAAATACATATATTTTTGTGTTTACATATTGTTTTACAATTTGATATTAGTTACACAAACCATACATTCAGAAAGTATTCAGACCTCTTAATTTTTTATGTTGCGGTTTATGCTACAATTGTTTAAATTAATATCTTCCTCGATACCCCAATATCCCACTCAATATCTCACTATAACTTAGCAGAAAACAGATTTTTGATATGTTTTCAAAAACATTCACCATGACAATGTGAAATTTAACTCAGTTGCATCCCATTTCTCTGGATCCACCTTTGTCAAATTCAGTTGATTGGACATGGTTTGGAGAGGCCCACACCTGTCTACATAAGGACTCACATCTTTAAATGCGTATCAGATCACATAAAGCAAGTTGTAAGGTCAAAGGAACTGCCTGCAGCGCTCAGAGACAGGATTGTGTTGAGGCACACATTTGGAGAAGGCTACAAATGTTTTGGGCTGCATTGGAGATTCCCAAGAGCACAGTGGTCTCCATAATTCTTGAATGGAAGAAGTTTGGAACAACCAGGAGCTTGCCGTCTATCCAAACTGAGCAACTCGGGGAGAAGTGCCATTGTAAGAGCTGTGACTGAGAACCCAATCATCACGCTGAGTGAGTTCCAGAGATCACGAGTGGAAATGTAAGAAACTTGTGGAAGGACAACTATCACCGCAAACACTCAAACTTCATGGCACACTGGCTATACCAAAGTTTATCCTCATCGCAACGCACATGAAAGTCCACTTAGAATTTGCAAAAAAGAAACTAATGGACTCTCAGACTGTGAAAAACTAAATTCACTGGCCTTATTAAACAAAGAAACAAATAAAACAGTTTGGCCTAAATGTAAAGCGTCATCTCTGGAGGACATAATGCTTTTGTTTTTGTTTTTTTCAGTAGCAGGGACTGGGACTGAAGGTTAATGTACCAACAGGAGCATAAGCCTAAGCACACAGCCAAGACAATGCATGAGTGGCTATGGGATTTTTCTGTGAATCTCCTTGAGTGGTCCAGTCAGATTCCAGACTTGAACCCCCCCCAAACTTTTATGTACAGACCTGAAAATGGCTATCCACCGATGATCAACCTGAAAGAGCTTGAGAGGATCTGCAGAGATGAATATCAGAAACTAAACAAATCCAGGTGTGCAAAGCTTATTGCATGATACCGAAAAAAGATTTCAGGCTGTAGTCGCTGCCAAAGGTGCTTTAAGTAAATACTGAGTTAGGGGCCGGAATACTTATGTAATTGTGCTATTTTATATTTTCAGTGTCATAATGGGGCATTGAGCATACATTAATGTGAAAATAAATTAATTTAAAGAATTGTAGCATACAGCTGAAAAATAAAAAATGTGGAAAACAGCGAAGGAGGTCTAAATACTTTATGAATGCTCTGTATATACCTTCTAAATTTTAAAAGGCAAAAAACAGTACTTTCATTTTAAGGAGGAGCTATTCTCAGACATTTAAAGGGACGCTATAGTCAGCAGAACAACTACAGGTTAATGTAGTTGTTCTGGTGAGTATAGTCCGTCCATGCAGGCTTTCTGTTGTAAACACTGCCTTTTCAGAGAAAAGGCAGTGTTTACATTAAAGCCTAGGGACACCTCTAGTGGCCACTCCTTAGATGGCCACCGGAGGTTCTTCTTGGGGCAGTGCTTCACAGTGTGCATTCAATGCATCTCTATGATGAGATACTGATTGGTTTGGGTGGCATTTGGGCCTGCCTCATCCCACTTCCTTGACAATTTTTACCTATGGTAAAGCATTGGATTGGCTGAGAACATCAATTCTGATGATGTCAGCCAAAGGGGCAGACCGAGGGTGGGGCCAGCACCTACAGACCCACGGAGAGCTGGAAATAAGGTTTAACCCTTTCTAATGGAGCAAGGGGGCAAGCAACCTAAATGTTGTTTTTTAACACTATAGGGTCAGGAATACGTGTTTGTGTTCCTGACCATATAGTGATCCTTTAATTTTTTTTAATTATTTAAAGTTTTTAAATTGCTAGTGTAATGTGGAACA